TTTCCCACGTGTGTCCACAGCATTTGGGTCAGATAGCTAAGGAAGACTGAGTGATTCAGTCGAAAATTCCGGTGAGTCAAATTTTGAGTTGGAGAACAGTTCATAATCTGTGCTGTGTGTTGTCCCTGCAGCTGCTCTGTATGCATGGAGACTTAGCGGTCAGCTCGTCCTGGGACCAGACCCTGCGACTGTGGGACATCAGAAGGGGGCTGTGCTTACAGATACTCGTGGGACATGCAGAAGGTAGTGGAAAATTTGCACTCTAGTGCTATAATTGATTTAGTATTACCAGTATTGTAGCTTAAGAGCTTAGACACAACTTATAGTTCAAACTTGATTAAAAGGTACATTGTGGTCACTGACCAAAATCTGTGATTTATTTTCACTCCTATTATAACACACTAAGTTGACATAAATATAAAGCTATCTTTGTGATATCAATATTGTAAGTTGTTACTGAACACGTCAGTGAAGGTTAGACATCCAGGTAATAAGATATGCCAAAAAACAGTTACTCAAGCAACTGGATATGATTTTGGAAATGGTCAGACATTTCAGGTAGCATCCACTACCTTTTGTCAGTGACACTGGAGAGTTGTCAGAAAAAGCAGGTTCATATCCGGTTGCTTGAGTAAGTGTTTTTTGGCATTGTTATTCACTTATTGAACAGTATACATCAGATCTAAAATGAGCATATCGGTGTAAATCTATTCCGAGTATTCAGTAGTTTTCCTTGAGTGACTGTTTGTGTAGCCTGTCAGTGGTATGTGTTTTAACGACCGTGTGCTCCCCTCCAGTTGTGTACTGTTGCCAGTTTGATGAGAGGAGGGTGGTGAGCGGTGGGGCCGACTCCTTTGTGAAGATATGGAACCCCCAGACGGGGGACTGCACCAAGACTCTGACTGGACACACGGGAGAGGTGGTAGGTGGACAGTTTCACCCAGTTATTCCTGATGACACGTGTAGGAATTAGGAGAGTAGAAACAGAAAGACACTCCAGGATCGAACTCACGCCAAACCCAGGCACCAGTCCACGATGCTCAACCGAATCGGCTAAAAGGTCTAGACCCATCACTGGATCGGTTGGTAACGCCTATTTACCCCCCACTGTTACACAAGTTTAATACTTCTGTAATTGATCCTGTAGCCTCCTCCAGGCCTCAGAGGTAGCTAGAAAATAGACAGATAACGCCAGGGGAGTTAGTCCACTAAAGGAGTCTAGCATACTAACTCCCCTGGCATGTCATCTGTCTGTTTGCCCAGTGCCTAATCTTTCCAGCCACCTCTGAAGCCTGGTAGAGGCCAACTGATCCTCCTTTAATAGTTCAGTTACCACTGAGCCCTTGGAGATGTGGCATGGATGTTTCTAAGAAAATTGCTTATTCCCTTTGCAGTACTGTTTGAAGTATAACGAGGACATCATTGCATCAGGGGCAGCTGACAGCATTGTCAGGTTGTGGAGCTTTGCAGGTAAACACTTGTAATGAACCTGTACTACTAAACTGTTCGCCCATTGTTTTCCTGCCCTTTTCACATACCAGTAACACAATTCTTTCAGCTTATAATCAAATAATTGTTATCTGAACTTAGTTATTACAGTACTAGGATGCAAAACCAGAAACAAGAGGGCCATTTTTAAAATCAGAGAAAAACTGAACAGCAAGTATGAATGTACTCATATAGAAAATCTCAGCACAACAGAGATACTGAATGAATGAATGAAGACCTTTATTGTACACACATACCCACTGGGTTAAGTACAGGTCACAAAAAAGGATGGAATATAGATAATGTTACATACATACATCGTCAAGTAGCGCTAGCTACAATCACGTAAATTTGGTTTCTTCTCGTTTCTTAGTAATGGCAAAAATGTAAGAACAGATATGTTCCAATACAGAAGGTTTGTTTAAGCTCATTAGAAATATAAATTTATCTGTACAGCTTAGATGTATAAAGGAGGGGAACATAGATTGTATCAGATTATAAAGATCTACTCTCTCTTTGTTGTATAGTTTACATTCTGTTACAAAATGTTTCTCATCTTCAATTCTTCCTAGATCTACTTCATGTACATGACAGAACACAGTAGGCTAGTAAGAACATGCTGCATTCACACATCCAGACTAACTGAAATTGTGTGGTGTCCCAGGGGAGTGCCTACATGAGCTGAGAGAACACATCGGCGTGGTGCGCTGTCTTCTGCTGGAGGGGGACAGACTCATCTCAGGGGGGGACCAGAAGAAGGTCGTCATCTGGAACGCAAAGGTGGGGACGTCCTCTTGGACAGACGTTTTGCACACAGAAGTATGAAGCAGGTTTGAACTGTAATTTCCAACACAAGAAAGTAGACTCCAAATTTTGAAGTTTACAACTCCAGTCAAGGAACAAGCAAGGAGGTTGTATCTCCAATTCAAGTCTACCTCTATGGAACAAGCAATCCACCACTTCTGTGACAGCATGTTATGCAGATGACACCCATAACTCTATGTACAGAGCTGTCTGAAATTGTCATTCATGTACTGGTGATTAGGTTCCACTTGCAAGTGCAAGTGTATATAAATCAGCAGTGACACCTGGCAGAGTGGTTGTGAACAGCAGCTGTGTTTGTGCATCTGACCAGCAGGCATATCCCCAGTACTAGTGTTCAACCATCATTTGGCTGATTGAGTGTAAAGCTATTGGTTTTTGTAGAAGGGTTGTTTCCAATATCCTGATAAGTCATTGACAAGTTTGTTCAACTTTGGTATTTTTTAACGCTTTTTTTAATGAGACACAATGGACAATCCCTCTCCCCAGTGAAGGGCAGTGACAAAATTTTGTACTGTGTGAGTCCTGAAGTCAAATGTGCTGGGCTTATGTATACACAGTGTGTGCCTGAAGGCATAACACAGATCAGTGTGAAACTTGCTGTATGTAGTAAGAGAGGTTTAATTTCTCAAGCTAACCGACATCTCGCCCACCTCAGTTGTCCCTCAGTAAGACATCTGGAGCCGCATAGTTCCCGTTTTAGAACTTTTATTCAGCCTGTCAGGGTGAAAACTTGATATTTTGAAGGGTACTGACAGGTCAAGGTCCTGAGTGATTTATTTTGTCCTTTGGTTGCATCAATTCTAATGGAAAAGGGTTCTTGGAAGGTGGGAAGTCATAGTGTCAATTGCAACTGTTAGGCTTCGAAAATTGGTTGCTAATCTTACATGGGTTTAAATGTAAGCCAGATGAAGTCGTTGTCTAATTTACCGCTGTTGAAATTCCTTGCTAAAAACACAGTTATCTTATTTGTCAGGAGTCAATTTGCCGTGAAATGGCCTCCCTGTGAAGTTTATTTACAATCCCACAGGTGGGAGCAATTTCCTGGTAATCTACTTGACCTTTGCTGAAGGTCAGACCTGACAGGTTTTGAATTCCGACAGGATTTTGGCGGACATTCCTTCATTTGGATGATACAGGGCCAACCGTAATACCATACAGGTGTCCAACATACAAGGGCAGGGCATATGATCGGTAGTTATGATGTCTCTATTTGAGATCTCCTTTTTCTAGTTAAAACTTGAAGGTTCCTTCCCACATCTATGGTGCATAGGTCAGTGCCCATCTAACTGCCCATGGCCTTGGGCCACATAGTTTGTGTTAAACTCTAATATTCCCATTCCCAATCATTGGCGTGACTCGGCCTGGGGGTTCAACTCAAGACCTACCAAAGGCAAGGCAAACGCTCTACCAACTTGGCCATTGCAGTTGAAATCTACTAGAATGCAGATATCAAAGATGGTACTTAGTACTCTGGGACATGGTCCTTCAGTGATAAAGGGTCAGGTAGAGTCAATTTCAGGGCTATGGGGCTTGCAGGATCGAAAGCCACGCAGTAGTCAGGCTTGCATGGTGTGTCTGTGAGATGAATATCATTCCTTATATCAGTAAACTCTCAGCCTCCAGCTATCACCTTGCTAGCCATGGCCATTGACCTGTCTGGTGCCCTTGTCAGACAAACCTGTCCCTCATCTAAACAATTAGATCTTACAAGCAAACTTTCAAAGACATAGCAAGGGTCCAGAAATAATGGTACCACATGTACAATGACTATCAGCTACTGACAAGTTTGAGTATACTGGGTAATGCATGTAGAACAAATCTAGAATTTCACTTGGTGGCTTCCTTTGTCAGTACACTATATTACATGTATGTGTAAAACCTCCAGTCACATACATCGTACAATGCAGCTATTATGGAGGTTTTTCCATGACGATCGTACTGTATGTGGTACGAGTAAATTTGAGATGATTTTTTTTCTTTTTTGTTGCACAGAAATAACATTGCAGTTGCGTCATACAATGTGTGTGATTGGAGCTTGATGTGAAACATAACCTTGCAACAAAGAAAGGTTAGAAAAGGGAAACAGGTACTAACCTATAGATGTCATTTGTACATGAACTTTGCCTACAGATGTCATTTGTACATGAACAATGTATAATTGTTAGTACTCCACAGTGGGATACATTTTAATTGTCTGAACCCCCTGGCTGAACTAACTGTGGAATGTGTCTGACTCTGTTCTCTTGCTGTTAACCATCATGTCAACTAGTAAATATGGCAACACTGTTTAATGTTACTTGTACATATTGTTACGATAATTATGTTGGTTTTACTGTACATGTAGATGAATCTTTACTAAGATACAGTGGAAAGAGATGAAGACTGCAGATGCAGAATACAGTAGAGGATAGAGAGAATCTTTACTGCAAAGCTTGGTGAATTCAGCTGTGGCTGCAAGGCCAAAATACTGTGTTTTAACAATAAACTAATCCCTAATAGTAGTAATACTCTTGCTGTTCCACAGGAAGGCAAGTTGCTGAACGTGGTGCACAGGAACCCGACGTTGCTGCACCTGATGTGGGCTAACGAGACAAAGTTGGTGCTGGCCTCCCCAGAGTCCCCCGGAACTGTCTCCATCCTCAGCTACTGGTAACCTCCACTAGACATCACATCTTATCTTGAAAGTTCATCTGTGTTGGTAGAAATCATTATGAAGCAAGTTTAAACTGTAATATCCAACACAATAAATTGGACTCAGCCAAATTTTCGACTGAAGCAGTGGATTTGCTCATTCCTTGACAAAGACTTTAGTTGTACAGTCAAAAATTTGTCCAATTTATTGTGTTGGATATTACAGTTTAAACTTGCTTCATAAAGACATCACATCCTCCACACAGGGTTCAAACTAGCATGTCAGCAGAATGTACTGCACCTGCGCAAAACCTGGACTTCATTGTGAATAGCACTTCGGCAGAATGTCTCTTTCAAGGTTGCATTCATGCATTTAATGATGACATCCCATATATAGTTTTCAAATGTTGTGTCGGGAAAGATATCGTCTGCAATGGGCAAAACTCTGATTAAACGTTGATCAACGAAAACCTTGAAAAATCCATCCAACATACATGTACAAGGGCAGGGCATATGGCCGATAGTTATAATGTTTCTACTTGACAACTGCTAGAATGCAGATATCAGAGATGGTACCCAGTACTCCAGTGGCCCTTCAGTGATGCAAGGTTGGTTGGCGTTGATTTCAGGACCATTAGCTTGCAGGTACAATAAGACAGTTAGACTTACGAAAGCCACATAACGCTCAGGCTTCTAGGGGCCATGGCCCAGGTACCATCTCTGAGATGTGAAGTCTAGCAGCTCTTCTAATAGAACTGTCACAACTACCTGTCATATGCTCTACTGTTATATGTTGGACACCTGTATGGGATTACTATTGGCTCCGTATCATCCAGATGCAGGAATGTACAGTAGTACTCAGATCAACACAGGGTTCAAGTCTAGCTAAGAAAACATCTCGGCATTCACGGCAGCCAAGATTTCAATGTAAAGTGAAACTTTTCCCAGAACGGCATAGTCTGGATAGTTTCTGGGACTGCTTAATGCCACATCTTTCCATGCGTGGTAAAACGTTATGGCTGCCAGAAGACTGTGACATTTCGCAGTCTGGTTCTGTACCCCCAGTGTATAGGGCATGTGGGACGGAAGTGCCAAGAGCTGGGAAATACTAGTACACGGAATTACCCAGGAATTTTGAGTATTTACAGGAATTTGAACCCTATGGCATGCACACAGCCCCCCAGAGCAGGTGGCCCTGGTGGGATTATACTTCATTAAGATTCCCCATACCACACACACCTGTTAGTGTTCCTGATGCACCTGGCAAGCATGTCAGCAGAACGTACTGCACCTGCGCTAAATCTGTAATGTATTGTGCATGGCACTTCTAGGAAAGGTCTCATGTAAGGTTTTTTTTGCCTATATAAGGATGACATTCTGTCTATAGTTTTCAAATGTTGTGTCGGAAAAGATATCATTAGCAACAGGCAAAATTCTAATGCAACGTTGACCAAATGTCCAACAAAAACCGTGAAAAATCTGGGTTTTGCACAGGCGCGGTACATTCTGCAGACGTGCTCACCTGGTACTCTTGCTTCTTTCGCTATGAGGTTTAGCCTCTCCAGGCTTTGGAAAGTGGCTGGAAAGCAGAAACTGGCCAGATAAACAGATAACATGCCAGGAGAGTTGGTCTGCTAAAGAGCACAGTTTGTTACTCGTGAACTGTAGTCTTAAGTGGACCAACTCCCCTGGCATGTTTCCAGCTGCTTACCAAAGCCTGATAGTGGCTACATGTATATGAGATGCACCTTGCAGAGACAGTGTCATCACTTTATGCACCTTAGGACATAGGCAGTCTCTGGGAACTATTTTACATGTACGCAGCAGTGCACTGTATTACATGTATTACTGTGTTATCCAGGCTTCAGTAAGCCTATATTAACACTGCTGTAAATACATATCATGAAAAGTAAAAAAAAAAGGAATAGTACAAAACTTGTCTTTCTGTAAAATAGACTGTAAAGCCAGTAATGTCAGGGCTCATTGCATACATGTACAAACTACCCAAGTTTTCAGGAAAACAGCAGTTTCCATACCAGATAGTAAAAAGCCAGTGGTTAGCTGAGAAACAGTTACCAGTAAGTCTCTACTTATGTACATATTTGTTGCATTCTCTTGTGCCATTTCTGCCAGGTTGTCACAAAACAGAATTTTGTAAGTTCTAGAAATAGCCCAGTATAGCTGGTGAGACCTGGATGTTGTATCAAGGAGGACCCTTGAATTGCCAGGAAATATAAACTGTCTAATGCAGACATGTACAGTACAGAGCAAAGTAGTAGGTAGCTTAGTGAATGAGACTTTTAAAAAAGACCATTTAGTGAGGAAGGTAAAGCAATGTTTGAGGTCAAAAGTGTGCTATTAGAGTTGCAGAAATGGAATTAAACAGAAATTGCTAGTTTTAATATATATAATTATTCATCTATGTATACATTACCTGTAAAAATGTGTGCTTTTCTTGCATTTTAACAGACTGTTTGTACCAAAGAGCATGAAGTTGACCACGTATAAGTGCAGTAGCTCAGTTTTGCTGTTATCTTCTTCCTATGCCCATGCAAAGAACAAGTTTTTTGTAAAGGTACAAAGTACATGATTTTTCTAAAGTTGAATATGGCGGTGCTATTGTTGTTCTATATAACTTATTTTGCTACATCATTCCATTAAGTATGTTCTTCATGTATACCTAAGTGCGGAGTCTGACTTAAGCAAAAACCATGTTTACTCCTCAGTAGCCACCAATTATACCGAGTATATTACCCATTTCTCACAGACAACAGACCTTAATACATAACATAGTACTTAACAAGGGTAATGTCAGCACAGAAGGGCAACACCTACCTATGCACAAGAAATGGTGCAGAATGCTATTGAGCTTCAGGAAATGGAGATTGTATTGTTTGTGTATCAGCTGACTGGTGAGTGAATAGTGTATTCCTGATGCCATGTCCCTGTAATATACCTCTTATCAGTTGTGGGGGTGCGTATAAACATGCCACATGGTTGTGGTGTACAGAGAAAACATCTACCGTAACAGTACTCAAGGAACTAGATTTTCAAGACGGTCAGACGTTTAAGGTAGCATCTGCTACCTGCGGTCAGTACTGTAGTGGCATAAGCAGATATAAGGCCACACCAATTTAATTTCTTGGTTAACGGATTCGCCGCTTCATTTTTTTCTGATTTGCAAATAAAAATAAAAATCCAGAATCAACTGCAAAATGCTCATATTTTGCTCTAAACAGTTGAAAACAGTCCTTTTCATCCTAGTTGGTACACTTATTCCATCTTTCAATGCAATGGTATCATTAAAAGTTCAAAATTCATTGTTTAAATTTTGAACCAGCCTGGTGTGTTGACTTCATGGCTCCTATCGTACCATTTTGGCCAATTGGGCCATGACAGGATGCCCAGGCCTGCTTTTATTTTTATTTCGCCCGCCCGCTCCATTATTTTTCTAGGAAAATCCGTTAACCAAGAAATTAAATTGGTGTGGCCTAAAGGTGCACAATGAGAACTCCAATACCAAAGCTGGTGGAAAGGATGGAAGAGATAACATCTTTAAGACCGGTGAAGGAATGCTAAGCAGTTGTAGAAAAAGTGATTAGGAGTGACCACAAACAATGTAGGGCCTGCCCTCAGACCGTAAACAGTAAAACTGAAGTAAAGGGCTGGCTCCCATCAGCAGCTGCACACAGCTGGAACAGTCGGGGGTTTACAGGGAAGCTGAGCGTCATCCCCAGGGTGTTTCTGTGGGCTGCTGGCATTCCTAAGGCCTACAAGTTAACCTGAAGTACTCTGGACCTGCCACGGCTGCCATTAACCTCAGTGTACCTGTTATGTACTGATCAGCTCCAATGGGAGATATACAGTCTATATGCAGAAAAAAGGATGTAAACATGTTGATTCCCAGTTCTGTACCTAAAATATGCAGGTACATACATGTACTGTATATGTATATGTAAAACTTCTATAGTGTAAAGTTTGCTGTGACTTGGTAAGAAGAAAATTATGGAAGTCTTATAGAAGAAAGCATTACCCCTTGTAAATTTAGGAAGCCCCAAAGAGACGTTTATGGAAGCAGAGACAGAAAGTACTGAAGATTTTTCAGAACTTGAAACATTTCATGTAGATAAGAAATCTTTTGAGCAAAATATGATCCCTTTTCAATAACAGTTTCAGTCCTTGTGGGGAAATCCAGAATGTCAAAATCTAGTTCAACACAATGTGATATAGACCACATGTACAGGCTGCATGGCCTTAGAAATACAGACATTGATATGTGTATGATGAACTCTACTGCAGATGGAAAAAAGTGTACCTGAAGTGGCCGTATGTTGAAGGTGTGTTAGACTTGTGGACATGTGTGTGATGAGTCTTATTATGCCACAAATATCTAATTCTCCAAGTAATGTTACAGATATTACAGCCCTGGTTAGAACTTATTGTACAGCTGTCATTTGAATTGGTTCTTGAAATTAGACCCATGTATACTGGGTAGACATCTGAGCTCTATTGCCAAATGTCGTGATTTTAGTTTGTTTTCCTTTCTTTCCCTCCTTGCTGTATGTTTTTGGAACTTCTGTATCCAGGCTGTTTTAAAAACTCTTTCATGAATCTACAGTGTAAATGCTTGACATGAGATACTGTTTCCTGTAGGTTGCCATATGAAATATCATAAGTGTAATAATAGTAATACACGTACATCAAATGATGTTTCCAATATTCAAGTGTCATTGCATCAGAATTGTCCCATCATGAATTGTTTCCAGTGCAAAGGAAGTTGTGTACAGCAGTATCTAAAATTGCTTTTGCTTGATTACAACCAATCGGATGTTACAGACTTGTTACAGCCATGTTTGCACGTGTAGTTGTTTTGAGTGTGTTAGTCCAACAGACGTTACGTATGATGTGTAGAGGTTAGTACATGTATATTAGCTGCATGTGCATGTAAGCTATAAGTTTCCCTGCAGAAATTGTGTTGAAAGATGACCTGGTGGATTCATGCCATGGTGCTGGAGTCTACAAATGATGTGTCTTTTGATTAGAATTGAGAAAAAAAGTGAAGAATATGATGAAAATACATATATATATCATAAGGTATTTGCATGCGTCCCAGTGTCTCCTCT